CGAAACTCCGTCTCAAAAAAAAAAAAAAAAAAAAAAAAAAATAAGGCTTTACAGATGGTCATTATCTTCTGCTTCTTTCTTTTCCCTTCTTATTTTTTATTAAAAAATTCAAAGGTACAGAAAAATTGCAAGAACAGTAATAACTAATTGTTAACATGTTGTTGTATTTGCTTCTTCTTTATGTGTAGATTATATGAACCAATGAAAAGAAAGTTGTCGGCATCACGGCACTTCACCTGTAAAATTTTCAGCATGAAGCTCAGAATAAAGACGTCCTTTTCTATAACCATACACTATTATCACACCTAAGAAAGTTTCAGATGGTTCAGTTTGGTGTCTGCCGTCTAGTCCATATTCAGATTTCTCCAGTTGTCCTCCAAGTTCTTTAAAAAAAAAAAAATTTTTTTTTTAACCAGCATCTAATGAAGGTGTGGGCACTGCTGCTGCTGGCTTTTATGTCTTTTTAATCTCTTTAGTCTGGAATGATCTTCCTGTTTTCCTCTCCCCCTCTGATGACATCGATTTTTTATTTTGTTTTTCTGAGACAGTCAAGGCCAGTTGTTTTGTGGAATGTCCACATCCAGAATTTGACTGGTTATTTCTTTGTGATGTCATTCACTTTGCCTTGTGTCCCATGGAAGTCAGATCCAAATGCTTATGTAGGGTCAAGCTTATTTAAACAGCTGCCAGGCGATGCTGGGTGCTTCTTAAACCGTTATGTCCCACCAGGTTGTCCACTGTTAGTGACGCTAAGTCTGATCAGCGGCCAAGGGTGGTCATGCCGATCTCACCATTGGATGGTGTGTTTTTGACAATGAGCACATCATCTACGGAGAGATGCTTGGGCACTATGTGCATAACCATTGACGATTCTTGCTTGAATATTTTACCAAAAGTTGCAAAATTCTGGTTTTTCTAATTCTATCATTAGCTGATATTCCTGAAAAGGAACTATAATGACCAATTTTTACAAAAAAGGGTAGGTGTAATAATTGCCTCTAGTGGTGGCAAATAAATATCTCTCTGTGACTATTACTGTGTACTCCTGGGTTTTTGCTTAGTCACTTGTTTTACAATCAATTATAATCATTGTTTAGATGCTCCAATTACCCCAAATTTGGCCATTGAGGCCCTTTAAGCTGCCTCTTACGTCCGTTGAACATACTCCTTCTAGTCTGTAAGTGCTTTCTCGAACAAAAAAGTTCAGGACTCATACTTTTCACTTCCAGACATGGGATCATCCATTTCTCCAAAAAGCCCTGATTCCTTTTAGTGGAAAATAGTGTTTAAAAACTGAAACTACAGGCCGGGTGCAGTGGCTCATGCCTGTAACCCCAGCACTTTGGGAGGCCGAGGTGGGGGGAATCACCTGAGGTCAGGAGGGTGAGACCAACCTGGCCTACATGGTGAAATCCCGTCTCTACTAAAAAAATACAAAAAATTAGCTGGGCATGTTGGCGGGCGCCTGTAATACTAATTACTTGGGAGGCTGAGGCAGGAGAATCGCTTGAACCCAGCGGGGCCAGGTGGGGGGGTGGTGGCGGGGGTTGCAGTGAGCTGAGATTGCATCATTGAACTTCAGCCTGGGCAACAAGAGTGAAATTCTGTCTCAAAAAAAAAAACCTGAAACTGGACTCTGGGTGTATTTGTTGTAGCTGGGGTATTATTATTTTCATGAATTGATATTGCTATTTCCAATTCACATTTAATATTACTGAATTTTTTTCTTAGTGATCTTTGATTTTGTATATATCTCTCTTTGCTTGGTTCCTAATACTGTTGATGCTGTGAACACATTTATTTGCTTTATTCTAGAATATGCGTAAAATAGTTCCAAAATTATTCCGTCTATTGCTATTAGTAATACAAGTCTCACCAAAACAATATTTCTTTTAGTTCACTTTTGTCTGCAGTATATGGATGTATGTCTACTGGGATACATAATCAGTATTGAATTAAAATGTGTGAAAGAATTCTTTTTCTTGTGAGGTTATGTTGCAAACTTGCTTTTTAAATTAGGTTGTTTTGTTTGCTTTTTTTAAAAAAAATAAATTTGTGGTTTGCTCTTTTAAAAAAGCTTAATTGAAGCATAATTTAAATGTCACACAATATACCTTTGACAATGAACAGAGGGATTAGTGAAAAATAATACACCCATTGAAAATATTTTGACAAATATCTGTGTGACCACAGTTACTATAAACATATAGAACAATTTCATCACAAAAAGTTTCCTTTAGTTCCTCTGTAGTCGATCTCCTTCCTCTCCGCCAAAACCCTTAGGCAACCACAGAAGTGGTTGGACCACTTTCTTTCTCTGTACATTAAGAATTTCATATTAATGCAATCATAGAACAGTACACTTTTATATGTAACTTCTTTTACTCTGCGTAATCTTTTTGAGAATCATACGTGTTGTATATATCAGTAAGGAGTTCGTTCCTTGTTACTGATGAGGAGTATTCTGTTTTAGGGACATACCGTAATTTGTCTGTCTATTGCCCTATGATGGATTTTGGATTATTTCCAGTTTTTGGATATTATGAATAAAGCTGTTCTGAACATTGTTTTGCAAGTCTTTGTGTGGATATGTGAGCTCATTTCCCCTGGAGAAATACCCAGGAGTGGGATTGGTGGGTCATATAAATATGTGTATAAATTTATAAGAAATTGTCAAACTGTTTTCCAAAGTGGTTGTACTAGTTTACATTCTTTACTCTTTTCCTTCCTTCCTTCCTTCCTTCCTTCCTTCCTTCCTTCCTCCCTTCCTTCCTTCCTCCCTCCCTCCCTCCCTCCCTCCCTCCCTCCCTCCCTCCCCCCCCTCCCCCTCTCTCCCTCCCTCCCCTCTCCCTCCTCCCCCTCCCCCTCCGCCTCCCCTTTCCTCTTCCACAAGGTCTCACTCTGTTTGTTGCCCTGGGTGGGGTGCAATGGCACAATCACAGCTCACAGTAGCCTCAACCTCCTGATCTTCCCACCTCAGCTTCCTAAGTAGCTCGGACCACAGACGCACACCATCATGCCCATATAATATTTTTTTTTGTAGAGATGAAGTTTCCTCATGTTGCCCAGATTGGTCTCGAACTTCTGGGTTCAAACGATCCTCCCGCTTTGGCCTCCCAAAGTGCTGGGATTATGGGCATGAGCCACCACGCCTGGCCCTAGTTTTCATTCTTACTAACTGTTTGTGAGTGTTTGATTACTTCACATTCTGCACAGCACTTTGTATTGTCAGTGTTCTTAATTTTGCCATTCCAGTGGTATGTAGTTGTATCTTATTTTGATTTGTATTATTTACCTTTTACTTAATTCTTAGTTTGAAGAGTAAAACATTTACTAGTTCCAAAGACAAAATTCGCTTAAAAAGTATATGTAATGACCTATCAAACTTTAACTTTCCTCAGTCCTACTATTGAAGGTGTGGTTTAGATGACTGGAGAATCTATTAAGCACCTACTGTGTGCCAGGCACTGGGTCATGAGCAGACACGGAGACAGCTTCTACCTTCACACAGTTTACGTGTTAGTTACAGGAGCTAGACATTAGTCACATAACCTCACAGATAAATGCTTTGTGCTGTGTAGGAAAGCTACAGAAAGATTTCAGGCTGCAGATAATCTGGATATCATCGTTCCCCGCCTCCCCAGAAAGACTTTCCGCTTCGGTGCTTCCTAATAACTTGTTGCAAAATACTTGTTCTGAAATGCTGTAACTCCAGGACATGTAGCAACAGGCCAGACCCTGGGAAAGTAACCAGCACCCCACCCTAGAACTCAGGTCTTCTTGGAAAGCTCTGATAGCCTTCACTTGATCAGCTGGCCTTAGATGAAGAAGTCTTACGGACTTGTTCCTTATAGAACCCTGATTGAAACACGGATTCAGTGTCTTTAAAAATACATTGGTAACACATGGTTTACATTTAATTATTTTTATTTTTTTCTTTTTCTGAGACAAGGGCTGGCTCTGTGGCCGAGGCTGGAGTACAGTAGTGCAGTCACGGCTCATCGTAGCCTTGAATTCCTGGGCTCAAGTGATCATTCACTTCAGCCTCCCGAGTTGCCGGGACCACAGGCATGTGTCATGACACCGAGCTAGTTTTTAGGTTTTTTGTAGAGATGGGATTTTCCTGTGTTTCCCAGGCTGGTCTCGAACTCCTGGGCTCAAGCAAAACTCCCGCCTTGTCCTCTCTAGGTGTTGGAATTACACGTGTGAGCCACTGCACCAGCCTACGTTTAGTTTGTTGAAAGCCGTTTAAAATTTTGTTTTTAACATTGTGATATTGAACCGGATTTGACTAGTTTCCTCATGTTTAAAGCATATCAGTGCGCGTGTGAACAGTGTGGTGTGTTTTGTTTTTGTTTTGTTTTATATCTTGTAGGTTTGGTGGAGAGTTTTGTTTTTTTCCCCAGGAGACAGCTCATAGTTTTTAAATTTGAAACTTTGGTTCCTGTTTTAATTTCCTGTGGGTCACCCTGATCTAATATAAAACAATAGTGGTCTTCAGGATGAGGTTGACTATTAAGTCTTCAACTCTTAGAAAGTTTGATTGCATGGTGTTCTTGTTATGATAAATGAATTCTTGTTATAATAAATGTAGTTACTATCAGCTCTCTGTTAGTGGCTCAGGTAAGATTTGGTTTCAGTCTGCTGTTGTCAAATTGGAAACTTACTAACACTGTTGTCCTATTTGCAATTTTTATGGGCAGTTAGACTGAGTCCGAAACATAATAGCAGCCATTGATGACGCACTTATATGGAATTCTACAGAGAACATTTTTAGTCATTCCACACTTTCCTAATACTGTAATTTTCATTTTTCAAAGCTTACTTCACTTTTTAGGAAGATGAATTGAGTTCTTTCAAGGTATGCAGGACAGTAAATTATTATGGTAGCTTTGGTGGCATATTTTTTTTTTCTGCCTGATTGCTATCTTTTATGACTTGGGGAAATTGCAAGGGAATTATTATGTACATATTGTGGCATGTAGATTCCAAGAATGAAATTCTAGGGTAATCAATTCCGTTTTTTATTATGTCAGTCGCGGTCCTGGCAGAAGACAGATGGCACACTCAGAAAGAAGAAATCAAGGCGAGGACAACTTCTCTGTGGTGGGCAGGGGTGCACTCACTCCCCCAAGATGAGGATGGCAGGCTACACCAGGGAACTTCCATCCCCCCAGGATCTGAAGGGGTGAAGGAGAAGAGCAGATAAAAGATGCCAGAGGGGAAAGTAGCTGGGCTTATGGGTGCTTCGCGGGAGTCATGGTCCTTAATAGCAGGGTGCAGCTCACTCACTGCAGCCCAGCAGGAAGGGAGTTGGGGGATAACTTTCCTGTCCTCCTTCTACCCCTCCCCTTGCTTCTTGCACTGGTGCCTCCCTTTGGTGGAGCTGGATGGAAGTCCATGGCAAGGGAGCCTGCAGATGCATCCATAAATGTCAGTCTCCTAGGGCCGGGAGCAGTCAGGAGGAGGCTAAAGAGGTGCTCTGCAGGGCAGGTGGAATATATATCCAGCACACATACATAATACAGGATGGGGAGACCAACAGCTGTTGCAGCAGTTCCCATGTGCCTTGAGTATCTAGTAGATTTGTATGCTTATGCCGGGCACACACAAGATGAATGAAGCTTTTGGTGGCCAAGTAGATTGTGATGGGAGGCTTTTTTGTTTGTTGGTTGGTTTAATATCTAAGGATCTTTCTTTAATTAGAAAGCCTAAATAGAACCCCAAACTCTTCTCAGCTGTATTCTGATAGTCTTTATTTCTATTTTTTTTTGAGACAGAGTCTCACTCTTTTGCCAGGTTGGAGTGCAGTGGCATGATCTTGGCTCACTGCAACCTCTGCCTCTTGGGTTTAAGCGATTCTCCTGCCTCAGCCTCCCGAGTAGCTAAGACCACAGGCGCACCCCACCACACCTGGCTAATTTTTGTGTTTTTAGTAGAGACGGGGTTTCACCATGTTGGCCAGGATGGTCTCAGTCTCCTGACCCCGTGATCTGCCTGCTTCGGCCTTCCAAAGTGCTGGGATTACAGGCATGAGCCACTGCGCGTGGTTGACGGTCTTTATTTTCAAGCACTTGATTGTTCCTTTCCCATCACTGGAAGAAGGTACAGAATCAGAAGAGATCCCTCCCAACGTTAAGAGCCTCTCTTCCTCATAGGGCCTCTTTTGGGCATGAAGAGGACAGAGCTGGCCTTTCTGAGCAGTGAGCCTCTTAGCAGCCTCTCTGAGCCTGGTGATTCTTGGGTGCTACCATTCAGATTGACTCAGGCTTCAATGATCAGAGTGAACTCTTAAAAAAAAAATCAAAACGTCAACACCTTGTAAGAAAGTGGCTTGCTGTTCGACAATACAGCAAGCTGTGAGTTGTCCTTAGGACTGCCACATGGGGAAAGACAGTGGTGCTGAAATAGACGTACTATTTTGTTGTTGTTTTGGGGAACTGCTGCACAGCTGGAAAACTCAAAGCACTTTCCTTTCTATTGCCTTAAAAGGTTGATAACAGTGTCTTCTGTGCACTTACAGGTTTCCTTATGTACTTAGACGGAGGTAACTTACCAGAAATTTAAGTTATGATCTCACTGGGGTATATGGACCCCACTGGCCATGTAGACCCTATCCAGAGTTGAGTGTAATTTATGGCTCCATGTGTTTTACTAAACAAATCCAGTGTAGATAATTCCAGAAGGATGACATTGGGCTCTAGCTTTCTCATATTCATTTTGGAACATGCCCATCAAACCAAAGTTCTTCCTCTGCTTATTCCCTTTAAACGTTTCTAAAGTAGCACACACTTTGAAGAACCTTCTTCTTGCCAAGTGAATTCAGAAACCTTGGCTTCCACTTGCTGGGGAGTCTGTACACACAGGCACAGATGTTCACAAGTTTCCTCCTCTTTGGGATTCTGTGTGTTTTGGTACAGCCCTTTGTCCAGCTGTGGGAACCCTCTGAACCACCCAACCTATTTGAAAATATTTCTAGGGGGCTGGATTTTCTCATGGGGGCAACCACAAAGACCCAGGTTTGAAGCCTGGCCTCTACCTCTTGCTCGTTGTGATCCAGGGAAAGCCCGTGTCCTCATTTCCTTCCCTTTCCCTTTCTTTTTTTGAGATGGAGTTTTGCTCTTGTCACCCAATCTGGAGTGCAGTGATGCAATCTCGGCTCACCGCAGCCTCCGCCTCCTGGGTTCAAGCGACTCTCCTGCCTCAGCCTCCCGAGTAGCTGGAATTACAGGCACCCACAACCACACCTGGCTGATTTTTTGTATTTTTAGTAGAGGCGGGTTTGGGCAGACTGGTCTCGAACAGTGATCTGAACTCAAGTGATCTGACCTCAGGTGATCCACCCTCCTCAGCCTCCCAAAGTGCTAGGATGACAGGTGTCAGCCACTGCTCCCAACTGAGCCTGTGTCCTTTCAGAGACCATTTTTTGTGGCTATACATGGCTTTAATAATCTCAGATTTCTTCACTGAGTTGTTTAGGGCCACCTGAGATATTTGATCATGCTTTGAAATTTGCTGAACAAACAGAAAGGTGATGTTTTTTTCTGCATATATGGCCACATGCCAGCATACAAAGTTGTAATGAAGACAGTGGTAACTTTGACTTGCATTTTTAGCTGAAATAAATAGTTTTAAAAAATGTGTGTGCTCACACAGTATCAGAAAGCATTTTTGTGACACTCTTGTTCAAGGATGTACATTTTAGTGCAACTGTATCATCCAGAATTATTCGTGATTTGACCTGAAAGTGATACAGTTTTCGTTGCAGCTATGCAGTGGTGTTTGTCAGTTCCGGAATCAAACTGCCTGCATTTCACCGTGGACCAAATTCGTTAACTTGTCTGAACCTTACTTTCTGATACGGTTTGGCTCTGTGACCCTACCCAAATCTCATTTTGAATTGTAGCTCCCATAATTCCCATGTGTTGTGGGAGGGACGCCAGGGGAAGGTAATTGAATTGTGGGGATGGATCTTTCCCATGTTGTTCTCATGATAGTGAGTATGTCTCCTGAGATCTGATGGTTTTATAAAGGGGTGTTTCCCTACGAAAGCTAATTCTCTCTTGTTTGCTGTCATGTAAGATGTGCCTTTTGCCTTCTGTCAGGATTGTGAGGCCTCCCCAGCCACATGGAATTGGGAGTCCATTAAACCTCTTTTTTAAAAAAAATTAATTGGCCGGGTGCGGTGGCTCACGCCTATAATCCCAGCACTTTGGGAGGCCGAGGCGGGTGGATCACGAGGTCAAGAGATCGAGACCATCCTGGTCAACAAGGTGAAACCCCGTCTCTACTAAAAATACAAAAATTAGCTGGGCATGGTGGTGCACACCTATATTCCCAGCTACTCGGGAGGCTGAGGCAGGAGAATTGCTTGAACCCAGGAGGCAGAGGTTGCGGTGAGCTGAGATCGTGCCATTGCACTCCAGTCTGGGTAACAACAGTGAAACTCCGCCTCAAAAAATAAATAAATAAATAAAAAATAAAAGATAAATTACCCAGTCTTGGGTGTGTCTTTGTCAGCAGCGTGAGAAGGGACTAATCCCCTTTGCTTATCTACAGGATCATAACATATACTATTTCTCTTGTAGGTTTGTTGGGAGAATAAAATGAAATAATGTACGTGAAAGTGTTTGAGCTGGTGCTTGGCCCGTGGTCAGTTCTGAGTTAGGATGAATGGTTACTACTGCTGCTGTTGCGGCTACCATCACTACAAGTAAAGATGTTTGTGTTACTGTAAGTTCCGAGCTGGACTGACACTTAGACCAGGTGACTCAGCAGTATACTGAGTGACTTAAAATGTTCTTATGTATAAAATCTTCATGAACAATCAAAAGTTGGCTGTTTTTGGAAATCTTAGTCCATAACTGAAGCATGGTCTGAGAGTGTGTTTGGGAAGCATCCCTGTGTGTTCCTGGGTAACGCGTTGAGTTTCTCTGTCTCTCCCCTTCCCCAGGGAGATTGGTATAGTGGCTCTAGAGTCCTTCCTGAGGCCCAGCTCGGGACTCATGACATGGTGAGCAGAGGGCATTTCTGCACTGTCAGATGAAATGCACTGTGTGAAGTGTTTGTTAAGCCCAGGATCTTTTCCCCTATGCTTCTTAATCAAGTAACTCTTAACCCCTGGCAGAGTTTCTCTCCCACTGCCCTCTCGTTGGCTGTCACATCGCCCTGTGTAATTGTCAGTTATTAGTCAATTGGACGAGCCTCGGGTTGTCTGTCATGAGGACTGTCCTTTGTGTTCTGTGGCCCAGGTTGCAGTGAGTTCTCAGGTGAGCTGAGAAGGCGTTAGAAACAGGAGTGCTATCCCAGGTGCTCCTGTGGCCCTCTATGAATCTTCTAGGTCACTGTTCTATCTGAGGTGAATTAGTGACTGGGGTTCAGGTTTTTCTTTTGTTTATTTTTGAGACAGGGTGTCACTCTATCACCCAGGCCGGAGTGCAGTGGCACAATCATGGCTCACTGCAGCCTTGACCTCCCTGGGCTCACGTGATCCTCCCATCTCAGCCTCTCGAGTAGCTGGGACTACAGGCATGCACCACCAGGCCTGGCTAATTTTTTTGTACTTTTTTTAGAGACAGGGTTTCACCATGTTGCCCAGGCAGGTCTTGAACTCCTGGGCTCAAGTGATCCTCCCACCTTGGCTTCCCAAAGTGCTGGGATTATAGGCGTGAGCCACTGTGCCTGGCCTGGGATCCAGTTTTGATAGCAGAACTCAGTAGTTTCTGAGGGAGACATATACCTCCTGAGGTCAGCAGCCATTTGTGAGGAGCAGGAAATGCTGGGATAGAGAAAGTTATAATTCTGGAGTTGAGTGATTTACCTTTTAAATTCTCCACCATAGGCCTCTGGGAGACGAGGGAAGGTTTCTGGGGCAGGAGCCCGGCCTGCTGAGCCTTGGCTCTCTGCGCAGCTGCTGGGACAGGTAGCTCAGGCATCACTGCCTTTTCCACGTGGTTGCTGCTGCTGTTCCCAGGGGCCAGGTCAGTTAGTCTTTCCAGGTGGATTCTGTTTCCTTAATTTTTTCCTCCATCCCCTACCAGTGAATCACAGTGCTTAGTTATCCTCCGCCTCCAACCCCTGTTCAGTCTGTGTTCCTGCTGGAGCACTGGTGTGGCAGCCTCTTACCTGTAGTTTTTCCTGGCACCCCCGTCCTTTCCCTGGCAACCTCAGGCACATCGGTCACAGGGTACTTTGTCCATACCTTCACCAGTGCTGACAAGAATGCTGAAGGAATCGATAACACTGACAATGTTATTTGGTCCCTGTAGCTTCTCACTTGGGTCGGGGATGGTTTCAGATTTATTTTTGGAGCCCGGTGCTGCCACATCAGGGTGCAGCCTGTGTCAGACAGCCTTTGTTGGAAGGGGTCTCCTTCGTGGTTGGAGTACTTGTGCTAGAATGGAGAGGCACTGTAGAGGCAGTGTCTCCTTAAAAGTGGATGAGTTGGTTGGCTCGATGCTGTGGCTAAAAGCTGGGCTCATGACCCAGAAACTCCCAGGAGGGATCCCTGTTGAAAATTAGGGAGAGTGGGTGACTGGTGATCTCGTGGACAGTGGCCACTCCAGAAGAACAAACACCAAACAACCCAGTGTCAGAGAGAGAGAGAGAGAGAGAGAGAGAGAGAGAAAGAGAGAGAAAGAGAGAGAGGCTCATGATTATTTATTAAAAAAAAAAATCATAACTGTGAAGCTCTCTGGCTTAGTGCACACACCCTGTAACTGTTACCTGGCCAGGTACTTTCAACAACTTTCAGTTATGGAAATATGGTGATCAAATTCTATGTGCCAATTTGATAAGATCACATTGGCACATTTAAAAATAGATGAGTAACTATGGACAACCAGAAGATAAAGTGGCACTAGGTGGGCCAGTTGTAATCCAGCCAAGGGTGTCCATGTGTCAGGCCCACGTTCCCTTTATTGCCGTCCATAAAACATGACTGCGTTTGTTACCATGTGCAGCGCGTGAATCACCTTCATGAAAGGGAGGTGCTGGAAGGAGTGCCCGTCCAGGTGCAGCTCGGAGTTAGAGCTGGCTGTCAGCTTCTCCTTTCCACTTCATTCAATATGCTTAGAAATTCTTTTACTAGGCCTTGAACTTTAAAAATGAATATTTACATATTTAAACACATTATTTATGTAAATGTGATGAGTGGTGAATTTTATTTCCCCATCTCTACTAGCACTGTCAGCTTGCTTTTAAACTTTTTTTTTAAAAAAACGCATGAAGACACCTGGCACCATGGCTCATGCCTGTAATCCTAGCACTTTGGTAGGCTGAGGCAGGCGGATCGTGAGGTCGAGATCGAGACCATCCTGGCCAACGTGGTGAAACCCCCCTCTCTACTAAAAATACAAAAATGAGCTGGGCATGGTGGCTTACGCCCGTAATCCCAGCTACTTGGGAGGCTAAGGCAGGAGAATCGCTTGAACCCAGGAAGAGGAGGTTGCAGTGAGCCGAAATTGCACCATTGCACTCCAGCCTGGCAACAGAGAGAGCCTCAAAAAAAAAAAGGCATGAAGAGGGCAATTTAATGTATGTCTTTTACTTTGCCATTTATCCTCTTTGTAATTCGCTTATACAATTTTGACTTTAACATTGTGGGTGTGATGCAAACAACTGTTAAGAAGGAACGTGCCCACGTTCCAGAAAAGTTGACGCACTGCTGTACAGTCCTATTTCCTATCAGGAGATAAAACCTTTCAAAAGTGCATTTTTTTCTATAATAAAGTTATTACAGAATAACTTGATGTCAGTCACTCTAGTTACTTTATGTTTTTCTGTAATAATTATTTAACTTTCATGTTAAACGTTAAAATCCATCTGTGTGTACTTTGTGTGTACACGTGAGTTTCTGGCTTCATGCCACATAATCTGTTGAGTTCATTTGAATAATAGTTTGACTCTTCGAAGCAGCATAGGATGGCAGCTATTAGAAGTATATGAAACGATCTGCTTTTTAGCTTCCTGTGTGTTTTCTAAGTGTTTGAAGTTCTTTAGCTAGCCTATGTCACACTGTGAGGTTTCAGGTAGAGGAGAAGAGTTAACCCTTATTTGCTAAAGGCCGTCCCAGGACAGAGTGGTAAAACTAATTTGAAAGAATCCCAAGATTTCGTTGGATAAAAACGATTTAGCTAGATAGCGCTTTTAAAGATGCCCCTCTTTTGGCCTTCTGACTTGGAGTATGAGGGGTGTGTTTCTGTTCCCTTTTCTTTATTAGAATTTACCGGTATTGAGTTTGACAGTATTTCGAAGTCAATGTATTTCGGATGTTTTCATGGTCATTTTATGATGGGTTGGTAGCGTGCTAGCTCTTGACTGCTTTTGGCACTTGGGAAACAATAGTGTAGGGAGTGCAAAAAATAACTTTTCAACCCAAACAAACGCTGAGTAGATCCGTCAGCCTCGGGAGGTGACACGCTGCAGATGTGTGCTTCCTGCAGCCTCCCCGCTGTGAAAATGACATTGATGTGGGGTGGTGAGAAGGGGGAAGAAGCAGAGCTCTATCAAAACAGTGAGTAACGGAACGGAGATTCCTGCAAAGCTGAAGCTTGGGGAAATGCTGCTTTTCTTTTATAATTCGCAGCCCTACACAACTCTACCATAGCAGATTTTTCCTAGAGATTAATTTGGTTTTAGGCAAATATGGGATTATTTTGGTTTTATTTAGGTGTTGATGCTAGCAGATTATTGATTTTTCCCACGTCCATTGAAACACACATAAGCACACACACATACTGTCCAACTTCTCTACTGCAGATAAACATTTAAAGGAGTCCTTACCATGGTAGCATGGGCCTAAGAGAATTCCTTCTCCACATGTTCCACACACGTTGGTGCATCTGAGAGGACAAGTAGTGTGTTCCCAGTAACTCAGCAGGTTAGCAGTGCAGACAAGAACCATACTAGTTGATCCCCTTTTTGGGAGCCACACGTGGGGATTCTTTCTGGAATGTTCTCTGGGAAAGTCCTGGCATCGCCTGTGGCCCCTGATGGGCACATAGGCATGGGTTAGTTTGTAGTATTTGTCTTTCCTTATCTTGAAAGAGACACATGACCCTGGGAACTTGGACCTAATGCCGAGGTTTGGTGGGAAGACCAGAGGAGGTGTGATGATAAGAACCCAGTCTCTAAGAGGCTGGCGGTGTTCCTGCAGGGGTAGCCCAGGTGGGAGCTGGAGGGGCTTCCTGAGGGCTGTGGGCCCCAGGAGGAGCTGGTGCACATGTGCCTGTGTAAGTTTTTTTTTTTTTGGAGACAGAGTCTCGCTCTGTCACCAGGCTGGAGTATGATGGCGTGATCTTGGTTCACTGCAACCTCTGCAATTCTCCTGCCTTAGCCTCCCGAGCAGCTGCGATTACAAAGGTGCCCACCACTACACTCAGCTAATTTTTGTATTTTTAGTAGAGACGGGATTTCACCATGTTGGCCAGAATGGTCTCGATCTCTTGACCTTGTGATCAGCCCGCCTCTGCCTCCCAAAGTGCTGGGATTATAGGTGTGAGCCACCGCGCCCAACCCAAACATTGGTTAATAAATTCCAGTGGATGTGGCAACTTAGCACAGCACAAGGACACACTGTTTTTCCTGCCACCTGAGCCACCGCGCCTGACCCACATGTGAGTTTAACCCCTTCCTCCCCCAGAGCTTGTCTTTCTCGGCCTCTGTTGTCTGGCAGCCCGTTGGCCAGCTTGTGTAATCCTTCGTAATCCTTCTTGTTTATGTCCTCTAGGGGTTCCCCACGTTAAGGAGCCGGACCCTGGCTTTGTGTCACAGGGCCCTGCCTAACACGTGTGCTGTTAGCACTTGAAAGTGTTGTTCAGGGACCTGCTTCAAAATCAGGCCCAAGGATCACCTTTCCTTAGGCCCAGGGAAGTTGGAATGGGTTTGTGACTCACATAAGTCTGCATTTTGGCCTGGTGGTGGTAGTGATGGGGGCTGAGGATAAGTTTTGTGGAAACCGGGGGAACCTGCAGGTGTGAGCCTGTCAGCTCTTGCCCCAGCCTTCCTTCCCTCTTTCTCTCTCCTTCGCTCCTTCCTTCACCCCCTTCTCTCTTTCTCCCTCCTCCCTCTCCCTCTCCTTCCTTCTCTCTCACCCTTTCTCCTTCCCTCCCTCTTTCCTTATTCTCTTTCTCCCTCCCTCTCCTTCCTCCCTTCCTCTCCTTACCTCTCTCCCTCCCTCTTCCTCCCTCTCTCCCCTCTCTCTCCCTCCCTTTCTCTCTCTCCTTTGCTTTCCCTCTCTCTCTTTCTTCCTCCTCCCTCTCCTTTTCTGTTTCCCTCTCTCTCTCTTTCCCCCTCTCTCCAACCCTCTTTATTCCTCTGTTGTCCCTCCCTCTTTCCCTCCCTCCGTCTTTCCCTCTCTCCTTCCTCCTTTAGGGGCAGCCAGGCCCTGAGGAGTTGAATGGAGCCAGGTCCACAAGTAGAGGAGGAGCCGGTCTTTGCTGGAGGGGAAGGCTCTTTGTGTAGTGGGGGCAGAAATGCAAGGCCAGTGTGCAGGGGCCTCAGAGAATTAGCTGGACACTCAGTGAAATATACCTAGGCCATTTCCAGGAGAAGCCTTCAAGCCTGCCAGATCCTGGGAAGCTGTGGGATATGCCGGACAGAGTGACAGCTTGTTGAGGAGACAACCTTAGGCCACCTCTCTATAAAACTGCTGGTGTCTTTTGGTGATGAGAGAGTGGACCATATCTGCTGTTTCCACTGAGAGAACAGTGGCCTCAGAGGCCCAGCCAGGGAGACTCTTCTCTTTCTTTCCCTTTCCCTTTTCTTTTCTTTCTTTTTCCCCCTCCCCTCCCCTCCCCCCCTCCCCTCCCCTCCCCTTTTTGACAGAGTGCCCCCCCATCACCCTTTCCCTCCATCCCCTCCCCTCCCCTTTTTGACAGAGTGCCCCCCCATCACCCTTTCCCTCCATCCCTTCCCCTCCCCTCCTCTCCCCTTTTTGACAGAGTCTTGCTGTGTTGCCCAGGCTGGAGTGCACTGGCGTGATCTCGGCTCACTGCAACCTCTACCTCCTGGGTTCAAGTGATTCTTCTGCCTTAGGCTCCTGAGTAGCTGGGATAACAGGCGCCCACAACGCCTGGCTAATTTTTGTATTTTTAGTAGAGATAGGGTTTCACCATGTTGGTCAGGCATTTCTCAAACTCCTGACCTTGTAATCCGCCTGCCTTGGCCTCTCAGAGTGTTAGGATTACAGGTGTCAGCCACCTGCCCAGCCACCCTTCTCTTATCTCCCTCTGCCCACTCCAGTTTTATTCTCTCAGTCAGGCTCTTGCCCTGTCCTGCCCCCGTGCAGTGTGAAGGGCAGGGCCACTCCTCCTCAAGGAAGGAGGTGGCAGGTGGTAAGCCCCTTGGGGCAGTGACCTCTCTAGGAAGCCCTGGACTGCCGGACTGGCCACAGCATCTCTCAGTGCATATAGACATGACTCAAAGCAAGTGGCTTTCTCAAAGTCCCACGTCCCTCTTGGCATGACGCCAGCGGCAGGCTTCATGCTTTGTTCTATTTTGATCCTTCCATTTCCACCTCCAACTTAACACATCTGAGACAAAATGCTTCCTTTGGACCAAGGAAAGTAACATCAGAATATGGAAAACAAATAGTCATGTACATATTTTTTAGATGAAATCGGGATGATTTCACAATTTGACAAGTACCTATTCCATCAGAGCAGGGACTGAATGGCTGGAGCTCAGTGTCAAGGAAAGCTGACTATTTAATATTTTTTTACCGTCATAATAACAAGAGCTGATTTTTTTTTTTTGGAGATAGAGTTTCGCACTCTTGTTGCCCAGGCTGGAGTGCAGTGGCATGGTCTTGGCTCACTACATCCTCTACCTCCTAGGTTTAAGCGATTCTCCTGCCTCAGCCTCCCAAGTAGCTGGGATTACAGATGTGTACCACCACGCCTGGCTAATTTTGTATTTTCAGTAGAGATGGGGTTTTACCAGATTGGCCACGCTGGTCTTGAACTCCTGACCTCAGGTGATCCGCCCACCTCGACCTTCCAGAGTGCTAGGATTACAGGCATGAGCCACTATGCCTGGCTCAAGAGCTGATATTTACTGAGCTGTTACTATGTGCCAAGCAAGCAAAATATTATCTCATTTAATCCTCACAACAATCTTGTGAAGCAGGTGTTACTAAGTCACTCCCATTTTTATGGATGAAAAATTTGAAGCTCAGAGCAGTTAAGCATTTTGCCCAAGTCCACACAGCTGGGAAATTGAAAGAAGACGTGGAACCAGGTCTTTCTGACTCCAATGTCCATGTCTCCCCACAAATGGGTAGTACTGGCTTAGAACAGAAATCTGGCCATGTTGATAAGCTGGGGAGGAGATAGAGACATGAGAAACTGTGTACTCGAATTCATCTATAATAACACATTTCCAAAGCTTAGACTGATGGGCCTTGGGGATGATTTCATCTCAGCACCGAATTTATAGATGAGGAAACTAAGACCCCAGAGGTGGGGACGTGAGCTGCATGTATTCGGTGATTTCTCGAGGAAGCGATGGTGGGTGCAGACCAACCAGGCATGTGTCTTACTACGGATGGGGTAACTTACTCCAGGCTGTGTTTGTAGCCCCCATGGGGTCTTCCTTTCCTACCTTGGAGCACTTGACTTAGACCGTCGTCAACACCCCACCCATCCCACAGGACCCAGCCTAAATCCCTTAGCCCTGAAAACCCCTTCTCTCGTTTTTAAGGTTCCTAAAACTGGGAGTCATGAGTGTGAACCCTGGGTATGAGTATTGGAGTTATAGGGCAGCAGGCAGTGTACTATGGACAGTGTTTTTGTGAATAAGGTCCTACTGAAGCCCAGCCACATTTATCTGTTTATATCGATGGTTGCTTTTGTGCTATGATGGCAGAGTTGGGTTGTTGCAACAGAGACCATGTGACCTACAAAGACTGTAGGATGTACTTTGAGAAGCCATTGGACATGGCCATGCATTAGAGGTGGCTGGCAAAGGAAAGAGAGGTTGTTTAAGAAATTACTAACCCTTCCTACAGAGGAACCAGCTGATGTTAAACCTCTAAAGCCAGATGACCTCAGGTCTACTGTGACATTCATGAGCTTCTGGTATAAAGCTTGGGGTCACGGAGGGTATAGCAGAGGGGAGAGAGGTGGCTTATGTGCAGTCATGGTGCACAGTATATTTTGAGAAATACATTGTTAGGCGATTGAGTGATCATAAGAACATTACAAAGTATATGTACACAAACCTAGTTAGTGTGTATGTTTATATACATATATTTTCATATGGAAATCAAACGATCCTCACCATCACTGAACATCAATTACTTCTCCTACTTGATCTGCTATGCCAGTGTCAAGTGCTGTCTATCAGGTTTCTAACTCTCTTTTTTTTGAGACAGATTTCACTCTTGTTGCCCAGGCTGGAGTGCAGTGGCGTGATCTTAGCTCACTGCAATCTCCACCTCCCAGGTTCAAGCAATTCTCCTGCCTTAGCCTCCTGAGTAGCTGGAATTAACAGGCATGCGCCACCTCACCCGGCTAACTTTTTCTATTTTCAGTAGAGATGGGGTTTCGCCATGTTGGTCAGGCTGGTCTTGAACTGCTGACCTCAGGTGACCCACCGGTTTCAGCCTCTCAAAGTGCTTGGATTACAGATGTCAGCCACCGTGCCCTGCTCTATTTTTTTTTTTTTTCTTTTTTTTTTTGAGACAGAATCTTGATCTGTGGCCAGGTGCCAGGCTGGAGTACAGTGGCACGATCTCAGCTCACTGCAGCCTTCACCTCCCGGGTTCAAGCAATCCTCCTGCCTCAGCCTCCCGAGTAGCTGGGACTACAGGCATGCGCCACCACACCCAGCTAATTTTTGTATTTTTTAGTCGAGATGGTGTTTCACCATGTTGGCTAGGATGGTCTCGATCTCTTGACCTCGTGATCCGCCTGCCTTGGCCTCCCAAAGTACTGGGATTACAGGCGTGAGCCACCGCACCCAGCCTCTGTCACCTTTTTTTAAGAAAGAATCAGGTCTTGCTTTGTTGCCTGGGTTGGGGAGTAGTGGCACAATCATGGCTCACTGTAACCTCAACTCCTGGGCTCAAGCAGCAGTCTGGCTGATTTTTATTTTTATTTTTTGTAGAGACAGGGTCTCGCTGTATTGCCTAGGGTGGTCTCAGACTCCTGGCCTCATGCTGTCCTCCTGCCTTGGTCTCCCAGAGTGTTGGGATTACAGGCGTGAGCCACTGCGCTCGGCCATATTCTGTATATGCTCCATTTTAATCTTACGGGACCGGCATCCTATATACATTCATTGTTGACCAAAACGTCCCTATGCATTGCATGACTAGCTGTACCTTAATCAGCAGATGTCAGTAAATAGACAGTCTCATCAAAGGTTCTATGTTCAAAAGAGTGCTGGATTTTCCCCATCTCCCAATCTTCAACCTGATTAGTTGCTCAGACTAAACCTTGATTTTTCTCTCCTCTACCTGCCACCTCTAATCCATGGCCAGGTCCACCTGCTTCTCCAAAGTACATTCTTTGTGTGTGCATGTGTATGTGTGTTTTTGTTCTTGTTTTTTGTTTTGCCTGTGTTTGTGTGTGTCACAGGATCTCACTTTGTCACCTAGGCTGAAGTGCAGTGGTGCAGTCACAGCTCACTGCAGCCTCTGCCTCCTGGGCTTAAGTGATCCTCCTGAGTAACTGGGACTACAGGTGTGTGGCACCATGTCTGGCTAATTTTTGTATTTTTTGGGTAGAGACGGGGTTTCACCATGTTGCCCAGGCTGGTCTCAAACTCCTGGACTCAGGTGATTCGCCCACCTCAGCCTCTCACAGTGCTGGGATTACAGGTGTGAGCCGCCACCGGGCCTCAGTACATTCAGGAGCTGTTCTCCTTTTGCCATCTCACTGCTGCCTCCTGAGCCAACACCCATGGTCGTCGTGGGCCCGGACTGCCACGTCAGTTCTCTGCAGGTGCTCTTGCTACTTCCAGCCCGTTTATTTCTCACACAGCAGCAACTTCCTCCCTTCTAACTCATGCTTATTCTGTTTCCTTCCTAGCAGGTATTACAGTCTGTCATAATCTTGCTTATTTATTTCTTTACTTACTGTGTTTTTTCCTTTCTAGAATCCAAGCTTCAGGGGGGCTGTCTCCTTTTTGTATTGTTTTGTATTCACAAATGGATCCTTCATGGTGCCTGGCATGTAGTAGGTACTATAGGAATGAATGAATGAATGAGCAAATAAATGAAGGAATGAATGAAGGTGGGTAGTGTTAGAAGCATCTTCCGAAATGTTGTGTTGGAAACATCAAAAGGTATTGTTTCCAGATCACCAACACATACCCAGCTCCCCACTCCATTTCATTTTTGTTTTTGTTTTCTGTCTTGTTTTAATATCCCATCAGCTTTACAGGGTTACAGTTGTCTTAAGTATTTCTGAAGTTCAGATATCATCTGCATAATAAGGTTGTTAAATTTTCAGGGTTGTTTTAATTTAATTTTAAAATTATTGTTATTATTTGAGACAGAGTCTTGCTCTGACCTCCAGGATGCAGTGCAGTGGCATCATCTTGGCTCTCTGCAACCTCCACCTCCTGAGTTCAAGCGACTCTCCTGCCTCAGCCACCCGAATAGCTGGGATTATAGACGTGTGCCACGACACCCATCTAATTTTTCTATTTTTGTAGAGATGGGGTTTCACCATGTTGGCCAGGCTGGTCTTGAACTCCTGACCTCAGGTGATCCACTCACCTTGGCCTCCCAAAGTGCTGGGATTACAGGCATGAGCCACTGCGCCCACCCTGTTTTATTTTTTTTCTCTTTGAGACCGAGTTTAGCTCTTGTAGCCCAGGCTGGAGTGCAGTGGTGCAATCTTGACTCACTGTAACCTCTGCCCCGCCAGGTTCAAGCGATTCTCCTGCCTCAGCCTCCTGAGTAGCTGGAACTACAGGTGCCTGCCACGACGCTCGGCTAATTTTGTATTTTTTTTAGTAGAGATAGAGCTTCGCCGTGTTGGCCAGGCTGGTCTCAAACTCCTGACGTCAGGTGATCCGCCTGCCTTGGCCTCCCAAACTGCTCCCAGCCAGCCTGCTTTAATTTTGAAGTTTAAAAATCATACCTTTGGGCCAGGCGCGGTGGCTCAAGCCTGTAATCCCAGCACTTTGGGAGGCCGAGGCGGGTGGATCACGAGGTCAAGACATCGAGACCATCCTGGTCAACATGGTGAAACCCCGTCTCTACTAAAAATACAAAAAATTAGCTGGGCACGGTGGCGCGTGCCTGTAATCCCAGCTACTCGGGAGGCTGAGGCAGGAGAACTGCCTGAACCCAGGAGGCGGAGGTTGCGGTGAGCCGAGATCGCGCCATTGCACTCCAGCCTGGGTAACAAGAGCGAAACTCCATCTCAAAACAAAACAAAACAAAAATCATACCTTTTTTTTTTTTGGTCCTTTTGTTCTTTGTTTTTCTTTTCATACCTGGATGTTCTGCACAAACTGAAATTGTTACAGGCTACCCCTCCCTGGCCAGGGCAGGACAGGCCTGGCCAGAGGTAGAGCAGCCGGCCTTTGACATGAGGCCTGCCTCCTTATATCCGCTCCTGAGACATGGCCTCAGAGCGTCACATGCAGTGTGTAAGTCCCCCATGGTTGCTAACAGGGGGCTTTCTTCCTCACAAGTGGTGAGAAGGGGGAAAAAAACATGACCAGACACTACTGTCCTAGATCAGCCGTTACCAAATGTTGACTCAGCTTCCCAGTAAGAAGTGTATGTTACTTGGTGATCCGTAAACGTGTATACATGATTTCACTACACATAACTGCTGATGTATTGTAGTCTATACTATTTGGTTCTAGTTTGTTCCATTCTAAAACAGTACTACTTATGATCCATTCCATTAATTTCATGACCCATTAATGTATCTGGCCCACAGTTTGAATAACAATGTTTAAAGTATAGGCTTGGCACAGTGGCTCATGCCTGTATTCCCAGTAATTTGGGAGGCTGAGGTGGACAGACTACTTGAGGTCAGGAGTTCAATACCAGCCTGGCCAATATGGTGAAACCTCATCTTTACTAAAAATAAAAAAAAAAAAATTAGCCTGGCATGGTGGCAGGTGCCTGTAATCCCAACTACTTGGGAGACTGAGGTTGGAGAATCACTTGAACCTGAGAGGTGGAGGTTGCAGTGAGCTGAGATCCCGCCTCTGTACTCCAGTCTGGGCAACAGAGCAAGACTCCATTTCGAAAAAAGAAAAAATAGATTTAATTAACTTACCTTTTTTGTTTTTTATACATTTTTTACTATTTCTTCCTATAATATGGGCTCTTGTTTGCTTTTCTTTTTGTGCATTGATAGTTTTTATTTCTAACAGGGAGTTGATTTTTATTCCCTAGGCGGTTTTTAATTTTAAAACAAACAAACTTGGCCTCATTCATATATTTTTTTTAAACTCATTTTCTCATGTAATTTTTCTCATTAGTTTTCTTTCCTGGGGGTGTTGGCATATATATGTCTATACACACAAAAATGTGGATGTGAATACACACACACACGCACACATTTCTATAAATGAAGATTCTTCCCCTATTATTTTGAATTCCTTAACACTTAAACACTTAATGGTACATGGCCCTCACAGTTATTTCGGTTTTTTAAAAAAAGCACTTGGTATTCTTGTCTTCAGATGAGATGCAGATGTTTTTCTAAGAAAGCTCCAACTCTCAAACTTACTATACAACTGTAATCAAGTTACAGCCTTCTCTCTCCTATGAGGGACATTAAATGTAATTTTTCCTGGCCTAAGAACCTTAAGTATTCTATCCTTTTTGTATTTCCATTTTTAAAGTTTTCAAGTAAACCATTTTACTGCTCCAAACTTTTACACGAAGCCCAGAAAAATGCTTGAAAGTGAGATGGGCGCAGTGGCTCAAGCCTGTAATCCCAGCACTTTGGGAGGCCAAGGCAGGTGGATCACGAGGTCGAGAGATCGAGACCATCCTGGTCAACATGGTGAAACCCCGTCTCTACTAAAAATACAAAAAATTAGCTGGGCATGGTGGCGCGGGCCTGTAATCCCATCTACTCGGGAGGCTGAGGCAGGAGAATTGCCTGAACCCAGGAGCCGGAGGTTGCAGTGAGCCGAGATCGCACCATTGCACTCCAGCCTGGGTAACGAGAGCGAAACTCCATCTCAAAAAAAAAAAAGAAAGTGAGATGTGGTGCCGGCCTCTCTCAGCCTCTCTCGAGATCCTTCCAAGCTCAGCCTGACACTGTCCTGTGTAGTCACTGATGGCACCCACAGGGTTCCCGTGGGTGTGTCCTGAAGATGTTTTTTGTTTGTTCGTTTCCTCTTTGGAATGCCAGCACTGCTAAGTATGAGATATGTTGAAATTAGTGTCTGGTTTATAAGAAACTCTCAGCAGTTTCAGACCTTTCTTATTGTAAAATGCCAAATGGTCGGAGCCTTTTGATCCAAGCCTGAGAAAATTTCTTCAGTTAATAAATGTTGGGAGATGCCTGGTGCAGTGGCTCATGCCTATAATCCCAGCACTTTGGGAAGCCGAGGCGGGTGGATCCTTTGAGGCCAGGAGTTCAAGACCAGACTGGTCAGCATGGTAAAACCCCATCTCTACTTGAAAAAAAAAAAAAGCCAGGCATGGTGATGCACGCCTGTAATACAAGCTACGTGGAAGGATGAGGCCTGAGAATCACATGAACCCGGGAGGTGGAGGTTGCAGTGAGTCAAGATCGCATCACTGCACTCTGACCTGGGCGACAGAATGAGAATCTGTCTCAAAAGTAAATGTAGGGAGGTGGCCACAATGAAATGACTAAGTTTGGAATTAAACCTCAGTTTGATGTTGACAGTGCAGAGACCTGGGCAGAAGACTTTCAGCAGCCAGGTAGTCATGAGTGGGTAGTAGTAGCTTCTTGAGCAAGGGAGGAATCCCAGTAGTCAGTGTAGGGTGTGGGGGTCATAGAAAGCAGATGGAGAAGGAGCTTAGAATGTCTAAAAGCTCTTCCCAGTGAATTTGTTGAGCCGGGACCAGTGCATTCGAATAGATGATCATTTTGTCTTTACTCACCCCATTTGTTTGCTGGAGGCCCTTCCCACTGCCTCTGTTGGAGTTGAAAATCAATCAGATTTGCTTCAATGAAAGACATTGTACAGCCAGTTTCCTTCTCTTTCTTCTGTCCAAAGGGAGATTTTCGTGATGTTGTCTGCCATTTATTGAGTACCTGTAGTATAGCCGCTGCTCAAGGTATTTTATGTTACGCCATCTCTGAACCTCCCAGCTCTCTGTAAGCGGGTCACTGATTTACCAGGGAGGAAGCCAAGACTCTCCATGGCACTATGATTTGTGCAGGGCCACTCGGGAAATGTCTGTATGGCTCCAGATTGCTTGTGCTTACTATTCCTCAGCTTGCCTCTCTGCACCTGGATCAATTACCTTGTAAATGTCCTGCACTGTCCTGGGCGTTTATTCTGCTTAGCTTTTGTTTTTATTTATTTAATTATTTATTTATTTTGAGACAGAGTTTCGCTGTTGTTATCCAGTCTGGAGTGCAAATGGCATGATCTCTGATCGCTGCAGCCTCTGCCTCCTAGGTTCAATCTGCTTAGCTTTTAAATGGTAGCATACATTAATTTGGGTATACAAGGGTACAGTAAACAAGACACTTAGGTTAGGATTAGGAGAAACCACATTCTTGACTTTTGGTTATTTCCTTGAGAGGGCCAACCGGTTGTCCTTCATTTATTTGGCTTTTTTTTTTTTTTTTTAGCGTAAGATTAAATGGTCCTACCCTGAAGGCCACCATGATGAGAACAAAAGCCATTGGGTTTCCAGAATTGAGATAATATCATTGCAGAAATGTTTGGGTCACATGTCAACCATGGCCCTCAGTGTAGCTATTGCTGGTTTGGAGCCTTGGGTGCAAGGGATCAGAAAGGCAGGTGCCACTGGCCCAGGGCTCCACCGGGAGCCTTTGGTGGAATCAGCCTAGATCCTTCCTGTTGGTTGACAGGACTTGGTGATTTGTTTTATGTTATCCAAATTTGATAGTTACCTGTCTCCTCTCTTTCCTCCCAAACCCCTCTACCCCTTAGCTTTTGGCTTTCTTCTGCACAGCTCTTTTCTAAAGGAGAAGATGAAGATTCCAGGGCAAATTATTGGGCGACTGCCTGATGTACTTGGAAAGTCTCACTGCTCCCCCTGAGTCATTCTGGGTTTGAGAATATGTGTGTGAGAGAAAAAAACACATAGGAATGTTGAATTTTCCAAAGTTGAACTCCTTCAGGTCTTTAAACATCCGGTTGGTTAAACTGGGAACATTGATATTTTATGCATAGAGTGTCCAGCCAGACCCTGACCTGTGTCTGGGGTCAGGCCTGCACGTGGGGGTGGGTGACTAGGGTGGTCAGAGGTTCCAGCCCCTGGAACAATTCCATTGCACCAGAAAGAGTTAATTCCAGTTGCACGGCTTGCTGATGTTGTTGATAGTAAAGTATTTTAATGGGCTCTGTGAATAAGGTTTGCAAGGACATGACTTGGGTAAACTGATGACTGAAACACAGAATTTTTGAACTTTTTAAAAGATTTTGGGAGTAACTTATTTTTATAGCTCCTTCAATGGGATTTTCTCGCACTGTCCCCTTCCCCCATGCTAGTTAAACAGCTTCTTGTTTGCTTCTAAATGTTGGAGGGCAACATTAATCTTACTGTTGGCTGAAAGCAGGAGGTGGGCACGAGTTTATGTAATTTAACTTCTTTTCTCTGCAAATCAGTAAATATTTACAAATGACCTTATCAAACAGTTTGGGTACATTCGGTCACTTGAAAGTGTGCAGCCAGAGGAGTGACTGCCCTTGGGCCCGCTGCCAGTTCTAGGGGGGGCCTCAAAGGAAGGACTCACATTTTTAAAAATAGGCAGGAAGTGGGCCTCACAGGAAGCCTCCCTCTCTCCACCAAAGACTTTTAGAAAATTTGCATTTTAAAGTTTGACTTCTTTAAAATTCAACTCTTCCGTGGCTGGAGTTGATTGCTGGGAACAAAGGAATCCGAAAAATAAATAGTGGATTCTGAGTTAGCCTCCCCATTGTTGCCCGAGTTCTTTGCTTCTTAGGGAAGGTAATGACAGAATTCCATCCCAAGAGTAAATGTCATTCTTTTGTGAGTAAGTTGGAAAAAAACAAGGGGATTACTTTTTTGTGTTTATAAAATGGTCCCAATGTCACATGGTTTTAAACATAACTACATTTTTACAGCAGAGTTGGACTTTGGGATGTCTCAGCCCTCTTTTTTTTCCCCCAACATTAGAAACCTGACACAGTTAAACTCATCTTTAGAAGAGAATGCACGTGTGCTTCAAAGTTAGCACTGAAAAATAATGAGAATCTCATTTTCTTGGTAGTTTGGAGATGAAAATTGCAATATTGTTGTATCACCATAATCTGGTAATAACATGTTCATTTTGCCTATCAAACATAATACAAGTAAGACTGAAGTGCACTTTATGGAGTTCTAGTGTCAGTATAATACTTAAGGCTGGCAAACAGTCAACAAATAAATGGAAAGCTTTTAAGAATAAAGAAGTGATAATAGCTATACATCTACTTATTGCAAAGTACTTAATAATTCTGTATTAATGCTTTTGTATTTTAATTTTCTTTGCAGAGTATTGGGAAAGGGTCGTTGTGGTGCATAGACCCAGAGTATAGACAAAACCTAATTCAGGCTTTGAAAAAGACACCTTATCACCCACACCCACACGTGTTCAATACACCTCCCACCTGTCCTCAGGCATATCAAAGGTAAGCAACTCAGACTTCTTTTTTTGGTCTACTGAAATGGCATTCTTTTGGCAGAGACCTGCGCGGAAATTAATAGGCCGTATGAGATTTTAAAAATAACTGCAGGTAAATGAGAAGGAAATTAAGTATCATTAGGAGGCATATCCATTGTTGTAATTCCTACAAACCTTACCGCTCCTGAAGCTTCGGAGGAATGTGCTTCCAGAAGGCTTCATAGTGGGTGAAATAACACCTTCCTGAGTAGAAACATGGACAGAGAAAAGCTGACAGCTTTCACATCTCGATGTGTGTCGCGTTTTGTGGGGATAAAAGTACAGGCGGGAGTCAAGCCGGTGACTCCGTCGTCCCTTCCTCAGGCCGGTCTCCGCAGACGTCCGGTGGAAGCTCACTTGGCTGTTGGCTTTCACAGTCTCCATGTGGACGGTGCTCCCAGGTGATCGTTTTGTTGTGGTTACTTGGTGTTTGCTTCTTCAAGGAGAACAGCAGCGAGCCATAGAGACATTTTCTCCTCCTCACAGGCCCATTTGTTTGAGACAGTAAGGTCATGGGTACCATTTTTACAAATACATCATTGGAAGGGAGGGTAAGTAGCCTGTCACTTTTTAAAAGAAAGTGTCCTAATGTTAGATTCCAAAAGAGAGCCAAATAATCAGAACCAAATTTCTAAGATAGATTTTTATCAACACACAGTGCTTGAGTTTGAAATGCATTCCTCAACTCTACAAAAACGTATTTAAAAATGTATAGAAATGTTTCTTTTATAACCACCTAGTTAAGAGGAATTATCCTTGGATTGCAAGTTGAGGTTAATTAGGGATGGCATGGTGTCATAGGCTTCAGGAATTTTGCAGTCCACTTCTCTGCAGATTCTTTTCCTAGTCTGCTGTTTGTTCTGCAGGAGGGAGCACAAAATGATCTTCTGAAATAGCATTAATGAAGTTCTTGCGCATCTCAGTTGAGAAGCATTCCATCACAGGCCCTAGACAATCAGTCTTTAGCAAGAGACAGGGAGGAACAGCTGGGCTCTCTGAGAAGACTGCTGTATGTCTGCCTTTGCTAGGCGATTAGCGTGATGGTACCCATAGCAACTGGAGCATCTCCATAGTAACGCGTAGCCGAGACAGGTGCAGTTGCATCACAAGGCTGTTTGTTGCCTGGCAAAAGGACAGGCCATTAGTACTTAGATATACGCTGTTGCCTTAGAAACAAATAACCCTACATAGCAACTACAGTTGGTTTGAAAGGCTTGGTGTGGAGTGGGGGTCGGGGGGGGAAGGTTGTAGCAGCTTTTGTCTGTGCTCATAAAAATCAGTGGAAGCATACTTTATTCGAAATGACAACTTGAGGTCATATAGCTGTAGGAGAGAAAATGGGATTTTCCAGAGCAGCCCAGCCAATATCGTAGATGTGTCCAGAAGGACAGAGCCATATGCTTGGTTTTCTCCTTGTGGCCATAGCCACTCCCCAGATGGAAGAGAACCAGGATTGGAGTGGAGAATTGCCGACGTCCAGGGTTGGTGAAGGAGGACATGACGCTAATTATTGAAATGTTTCCCAGATTCTCATGTTTCTTTGTCTTTCTACTCCCCATATCCTCCAGGCTCCATAGAATACCCTTCTCTGGCTTTTCCAGTTTGCACCTTGGAAGTATTTCATCTCCCTTTGCTTCTAGGAAGTTAAGAACATAAATGTAACTCATTGGGTCATGTCGGTGGTTCATTTAGATGAGTATTTTGTTGCCAAATGTGACCCTGAGGGAAACACAGTAATTATTTAATAATTTGAAGGATTATAGAGGAGCTCTGGGGGTTGGAACAGGAATGCATATTCAGGCAAGAGGCATTCTGCGCCGGCCCTAGCTTAATGACTTCATTTGATTTTTAATATAGGCATAAAAATGCAGACGAACCAGAGCTTTTGTAATGAAAATCATTTCTGAAGAAATATTTCAGACCCTGTTCTGTCACCTCCAGCCTTTCTGCCCAGTTGACTGAGTGGGGGAAAAAAAAGAGTTTCTGCCTCCGCCCGTGCGGTGCTTAGATTTCACCTCCATAGAGGTCACTGACTCTGGAGGGAGATGACAGATGAGATTCTAGCCTGCCTCTTCCATGCCTTAACTCCATGAGAATAGGTCACATTCTCTTTCCTGGGGACTGTCGTCCCTTCATCTGAAAGCTGAGAGTTTGCTTCAGGATCTTCTAGTGTGTGAAATTGCACTGAAGCCACTAAACATCGGGTAATTGTACAATATTTTTGTGTCTTACAGTGATGTGGCATTTGGCGCCATTCTAAGCCATCAGGCCACTTGTTGACATGACTTAGGGAAGATGAAATGGAACAGAGCGAGTCATTAAACGAGGACCCAAAAATGCCGAATTGACGTGAGCTGGCTGGGTCCACTGTGAGGCAGGAATCACCTGTCAGCCTCTTGCTGGATCTCTGTGAGGGGCACCTGGGAAGTGCTTGCCTTTCACAGAGCTGGTACTTAGCATGCTGAAGAAGATGGTGATTATACTAGATGGGCAGTTATTGCTAGGACTGGCAGGTGTGCTTGGCAAATATCGCTCTGAACTGAGCTGCAGGTGTCTGGAAATGCTGCGGAAAAGTGAGGCATTTGAAAACACTGCCCAGACCTTGCTCACATTCAAATACCATGCTAAATATTGTGATATGTAGACCGTGCTTCTGTTTTCTAAACGTGCCCTTTTGGATGTATGTTAGGATGTCCTTCCACACCTGCTTTGTTGATACCAAATTTGTGAATTGTTTTTAATTGAAGTGCAGAGCTCAGTGACCTCTTCTGTTTGTTTGCTAGGAATGTCTATAATGGAGTACCACAAACCCAGTGACTTAAACAACAGAAACTTACTGTCTCATGGTTCTGGAGGCTGGAAGTCCAAGATCAAGGTGTCAGCAGGGTTGGTTTCTTCTGTGGGCTGTGCGGGAGTGTCTGTTCCGCCCCTCTCCTAGCTTCTGATGATTTACTGGCATTTTGCTGGAATGCTTTTGGCCTGCATTGGCCTGTAGAAACATCAGTCTGGTTTCTGCCTTCACCTTCACCTGGCATTTGTTTTCTCTGTGTGGTGGCTGTGTCCACATTTTCCCTTCTTATAAGGACACACTGGGCATATTGGCTTAGGGGCTCATCTTTCTCCCGTAATGGCTCATACTATTTTTTTTTTTTTTTTTTTTTTTTTTGAGACGGAGTTTCACTCATTACCCAGGCTGGAGTGCAATGGTGCAATCTTGGCTCACCGCAACCTCCGCCTCCTAGGTTCAGGCAATTCTCCTGCCTCAGCCTCCTGAGTAGCTGGGATTACAGGCACGCGCCACCGTGCCCAGCTAATTTTTTGTATTTTTAGTAGAGGTGGGGTTTCACCATGTCGACCAGTATGGTCTCTATCTCTCGACCTCGTGATCCACCCGCCTCGGCCTCCCAAAGTTGCTGGGATTACAGGCTTGAGCCACCGCGCCTGGCCCGGCTCATACTATTTAATTACATTTTCAATGGCCCTGTTTCCAAATAAGGTCATGTTCAGATGTACTGAGGGCTGGGACTTCAACATATGAATTTTGGGGAGGCACAAGTCACCCCATAGCAACCCTTCTTAGGGAGATATTTTGCTGATAAAAATATGGAGAAGCAGAAAGGAAATATTTAAAGAACAAAATGATGGGGTTAGGGGCAGAGGTGTCAAAGGGATTCTCCTGAAGTTGCTCCCAGTAGCCAAAGCTGGGACAGTGTAAGCATCAAAATCAGTAACAGTGTTGGATTATAACTTGAAATATAAAATAAATACCTGAGTCCAGCCTGATGTAAATAAATGATTGAATAAATAAACAAATAAGGGCTGGGTGCGGTGGCTCATGCCTGTAATCCCAGCACTTTGGGAGGCCGAGGCGGGTGGATCACGAGGTCAAGAGATCGAGACCATCCTGGTCAACAAGGTGAAACCCCGTCTCTACTAAAAATACAAAAATTAGCTGGGCATGGTGGCGCGTGCCTGTAACCCCAGCTACTCAGGAGGCTGAGGCAGGAGAATTGCCTGAACGCAGGAGCGGAGGTTGCCGTGAGCCGAGATCGCGCCATTGCACTCCAGCCTGGGTAACAAGAGTGAAACTCTGTCTAAAAAAAAAAAAACAACAAATAAATGAGAGAAGAGCCATATTTCCCATTCCAAATGCTTGAAGTAGCTATTTCTCCACTGAAGAAGGTGGAGCAGAACTGTCCACTCCCTGAATGGCTGCACTTAATGACCTACTTCTAAGGATGAGAGCGTGGAATAGGTTGGAAAAGGAAGTTTAGAGTGGAAAAACCTGGTGAACACTCTGTCCCAGCTGATGAAAGCTGCCATCCTCAGTGATGTGCTGTTGATACCAGATAGCTCTCGTAGGACAGCATAAATTTGGCACTTCAGCTTTGTGGCCTTCCTCCCCAGACACATAACCCCAGTCTAGTCAGGGGAAAAACATCAAACAGTGATTTTGTCCTTCAACAGGGACATGCTGCAAAATAACCGGATCTTCACTCCTCAAAGCTCCAAGGTCATCAGGGCAAGTCTGAGAATCTGTTACAGACCAGAGGAGGCTAGGGGGACGTGACCAGATGTGTTCTGTGATGTCCTGGGTGGGATCCCGGAACAGTAAAAGGACATTAGGGGAAACCTTGCGAAATAGGAATTCACTGTGCAGTTTGGTGAATTGTAAGCGTAGTGTGCTGCATGTTTATAGCAGCGCAATTTACTGCTGCAGAGATACTGAACCAACCTAAGTGCCCATCAGCCAACGACTGGATAAGGAAAATGTGGTGTATATACACCGTGGAATACTACTCAGCCATAAAAAGGAACAAAATAATGTCTTTTGCAGCAACTTGGATGTAGCTGAGGGCCTTATTTTAAGTCAACTCAGGAATGGAAAACCAAATATCGTATGTTCTCACTTATAAGTGGAAGCTAAACTGTGAGGAAGCAAAGGCATGAGAATGATACAATGGATGCTGGGGACTCGGGGTGGGTGTAGGTTCGGGTGGGGATGAAGGATAAAAGACCACATACGGGGTGACAGGTATGCTAAAGTCTCAGAGATCACCACTAAAGAACTTATCTGTGTAACTCAAAACCATCTGTACCCCAAAAACTATTGAAATAAAAAAAACAGCAGTCTTCCAGTGTTGTGTCTACTGTCTTGTAGTAATGTGTGGTGTTAACATTAGGGAAAACTAAGTGAGGCGTATACAGGAACTTTCTGTGCTATCTTTGTAACTTTTCTGTTTAAAAAAAAAAAGTTGCTGGTAAAAAAAGTTAAAAAAAAAAAAAAAAAAAAAGCAGTCTCCAAAATGCAGATTCATTGAATTGATCGATTTTAAATATCCAAATCGTTTTTGGTAGAATACAAAGTAAAATCACTGCATCCCTGAGAGTTGCCTGACCTACTTTAGTGAGGAGCTGCTTGTTAAGGCTCTTGCTTTTGCGTTATTGTCTGGAAGATCTGCTGAGCCACACGAGGGGTCTCTTTGTAGTCTGGATACCAGCGTTCTTGGAACATTAGTTTTGTGAAATGGCACTCCACTGTGCTTTGTAGAGTACCCGTGACTGAGCTCGGGGTACCCAGACTCACTGAACCAAGCCAGCTTTCTTGGGGAATCTACACCTTTGCCAAGGAGACTCTGGCTCGTGGCCTTTGGAATCTAGATCTGAAAAGTGGAAGGAGGGGTGATGTATTTGGTTGCTTGCCTGTAACTCTTCAGAAAAGTCCATTGAGCTGTTCTAATGTTTATGTTCCCTATGGCCCTCCTACCTAGAGGCGTCATTTCTCGTTAAAGAATATGCATGTTTTAATGCTTCCAATAGCTATTGTTAAACTGCCTTCTGATTTTACACTCTGTTCTAATCCACATTCCCACCAACTTTTTAGGAAATTCTTATTTTTCTAACCTTTCTCAAGGTCTGATAGTTAAATGAAAAGGCATTTCCCCAATGGGTGACCTTGACTTTGTGATTTTGGTACTCATCGTGGGGGTATTTAAACTTTATAACACTACATTAACACCCTATAACCAGTAGCTCTCCCCATAATAATGTTTATGACAACAGATTGTTTTTAGAGAGTGACATATATATGGGTCTTATGTAACACCTTCTCTACTACAGGCACCAATCTAAAGTCAGTTTCCAGAAAAACCTTTTCA